CAATCACTGGAAATTGCATGATGGTATTGGATTGTGCTACATTCCTTCCTCAGGTCATTTAACGGGAGCTTTTTTCAGTAGACCCAAAGGAGAAAGGTACATTTCTGTAAACACAAGACAAGTCCTAGATGTGCTGTAGCCACTTGGGAAAAAAACCCATTGTAAAAGAGGCTTGTAAAATTATTCATGTGGGATTTGCCATTAAGACTGTAAAAAACGGGAGAAATGGACTTCTGATTCGGCTGACAACTCGCTTCTCATCCTCCGAAGAATTTTAGGAATGTCTTTACTTCCTTTTGGAGAGCTTAAGGCTAGTTCGTGATTGCAAGGGCTAGAGAGTTGCTTTTTTTCCTGCCTCCCTTCTCTTTCAGGCTAGGTTCAGCTGCCTTCCTATGCTTTGTCTGAAGCTTGTTAACTCTTGAAACACCAGCGTACGCTGAGATAGAGGCTTTTAAAAGTCAGTGGTTTCTTCTTTCACAAAACTGGAATGATCTGAAGAACTGGGATGTAACGTAAAAGATACTGCTTGCTTCAAGGAGTTACTGAGTACTTTCATACATACTCCTGTGGGCTGAACTGGGGAAACTCCGATTGGGATGTGGTAACACACGCGTGTCCTTCAACAGTGTAACACTGGCTTTAAATCATGCTAGTGCTTGTTTGTGTGCTGTACTTCAACCATATTCTTACCCTTTTGAGCTAAAACACACCAGCATGTCAGAGCATCAGCGGTTGCTCATGTGCTGGGGAATGCAGGTTGGATCGGTATCTAAAATTTGCTTGTTTTATTCTCTAGAACATGAAGGAATATGGGAATTTTGTAATACTGTATTTTGTATAATATGTGAATGATCTTTGCCTAAAAGGGCTTAATTACCCATCAGTACATTGACCCCTGGAGGATGCTATAGGGAGCCATGGGCGTTGCTGCGACTCAGGGCTCTGCGTAAAGAGCTGGTCAAGTGTCCCTCGCTTGGTCCCACAGCATTTCTTCTTGCTGAAGCCCTTGGTTCCTCTGAAGCAGAAGTTTGGTTTTCTCAGGTGAATAAAGTAGAGACCGCGGTTGGGATCAGCCAACAACCGTCCGTCATCACACTGGAACTGAGGTTTGAACTTATGCATCTGGTAAGATTTTCTCTCTGCCAGTGCCTCCCCTTCAACTGGCTGGCAAGGAAAGCTTCTGAAGAGCAGAAAGGTAGTCTTAGAAATCTGATTTCTAGATAGAGAGAATCTTCTTCTACTGACAGAGTTATCAAATTAATTCTTCCCTGAGTTTCCCACTTGTTCGTGTAATCTGCTGATTAAGTGAGTCATCTCTATGGTGTATTTGAACTTTGGATGGAATTTAAAACAGCGATTTTTGAACCCTGTCCCACAGTTTAGAGTGATTGTGCTTTCTTGTTTTTTTTCTTCCTCCATCCTACTGAGAAAACTGTCCAACTCTGAGCTTTGATTATTCAAGTGGAAGAGGGTGACAAGAAGACAAACAAACATCATTTAGTTTTTGAGGGCAGGCTTTCCTGATGCTTGACCTTTTGGACTTCCAACATCTTCTTGTCCATTTACATGCATTACAGTTTTTCCAATTACCAGTGAATTAAATTTGGAATTGTGGTATTTGGAAATGTCAAGCAGAATCAATAGAAAAGCACTTGGGGCCCAATCTTAGTAGACTCAGCACATTTTAAAGCCTATTTGAAATGTCCCTGCTTATAAATCTCAGAGGACCATGTGTAGATTATGAATTGAGATGGTGCTGTCTGGGTACAGAATCTCCTGTGGCTTTGCCAGGTGGGCTGCGGTGTGTTGGGCACACATTGGTCTCTCCTTGGAGTAGACCTTAGAAATCAGGGGTTCTGAAAGGCGTTTCTGCCAGTGGCAGTGGCGTGGGAGGGTGAGGATGGTGGGATGGAGCAAGTACATGTGAAAGAGCTGGGAAAGATATTGCCATGTGGTTACTGCTCATCCATAAATCTCTGCACTCCACAAGGAGATGGTCCCATATCCTTATCCCTTTGCCTGGAAGGAAATTTCTTTTGTAGGCTTGCTTTGAAACCTTTTTCCAAACTTCACTGTGTAGGGGGAAAATATTTACGAACATACATGATTTCACTTCCTCCTCCCATGCTCTTTGGAGACCTCATGCTGGCTCCCGAGGAGAACAGGAGAGAACAAATGATTATGTTTTAAATGTTATTTCAGAACGTGCTGCGTATTTTGCTTAGTGATTTGTGGCATCTGGTCAAAATCTGCCCTCAATTTGATTTTTAGGAGTGTAGTTGGAAATATCTTTCATTAAATATATTAAATGATTAAACTCTAATATTTTTCCATCACTGAGGCTGCAAGGTTTGGGGGCTGAGACAACCTTCTCAGTAGCTTATTTGCACAGTTCTTAGCCCTCAAGTGTCCGTGTTTCATGCCAGAGAGTAGTCATGGCTGTTACAAGCCAAATAAATGGTCTGCTTCATGCTTTTATAAATGCACACCTCAAATTTAAGAAAAAAAAAAACTTCAGTAACAATATGCCTGTTGAAAACTCATGGTATGGAGGGAAAACACAACCTCTCCTCTGTGGAAATCTTATATGGAGCAAGGCATTTTCTTGGTGCAGTGGTGCAAAGGATGCCTGGAGGTGTCTCCTAATGAGCAAAGGTGGATGGAGGAGCAGTTGGCATTCGGCTGCTACGCTGTGGTAGAGGTCCTGCATCAGGTGGCATCCTTGGGGACAGTCACACATGGGTTGACAGCAGCTCAGGATCTCGGGAAGTTGGGCCAGGCATTCTGCAGCTTCACACGTTCTCCTCCACCCAGCCCCACGTGCAGGTGGTCAGTTGGTGGCCGGGCCCTTTTTGGATGTGTAACTTTCTGTTCCTCCAAGCTGACTTGATTTTGTTTTTATCCTCTTGGGTGTAGCGGAGGAGTGTGTATCTGTATTAAAAAAAAAAAAAAAAAAAAAAAGAAAAAGAAATGGGGCCTTTTTTGTGTGTTATTACTAATCTGGTTTGAGCTCTGCTGTTCAAATTGCCTCGTTTGTGACCCAAAGTGCATTTAAACATGAACTGCAGAGGCACCATGGCATTAAATGCTTTTGATTGATCTCCCTGATGGTTTTATTAAAGAACTAAAACCTTTTTTTGGGGGAGACAGATACAGTTAGCGATGTGAAGGGAGAAATCTAATTATGTTTTGGCTTTGTCCTTAACTGAAACGCTACAAAATAAGATTTTTCTAATGGCTAACTAAAATGATCTCTTCTTTAAATAAAATATAGAAATGACCAGCTGAGTTGAAGTCAAAAATGCACTGCTTCCAAAAATTGATTAACTGCTGGCAAGGTTTCTGTCCTGCCGCACACCAAGTCCAGCCGGTGACCTGGCCAAACCTCCTTGGATCACTCTGCCTGGCCAGAGGAATGATTTACTAAACCTTTTCCTGAGTGATCCTCCCCTTTGGGCCAAGAGATTAATCTCATCAGCTCTGTGTGTGTGTACACTCAGTATTTCATTAAATCGAATAACGCTGTCATCTCGCTCGGCTCTGTCTTCCCTAAACAGGAATCTGCCTGGTTTTATGGACTTGTAAGGAGCTCGGATGCTGTATGTTCTTCTCCCCATCCTTTTTCTATCCACCCTATTTCACTTAAAATACCAGGGAAATTATTCAGAAGAATTAAACCTTTAATGCATCCTTTCCCTGAGTTGGTAGTAATGACTCTTAAAACGTGCTCCTTATGTTTTACAAAACAGGTTTTACTAGCAGTTTGGGGGAAAATTCTAATAAAGATCTAATTCTTTTGAATAATTTCCTTGTTATCTTTTTCTGACTTAAGCCCAAGTTAAAAAAGAGATATATGGGGGGGGGGGTTGCTACACAGATGTCCGTGGAAGCTGTGAAGCATGAGTCATGGTGTGAATATAGAAGCCCTGAGTTGTCATCCCTGGTGAGCAGGGAGGATGTATTTCTTAATATTAAAGTTCCTTTTTTAATTTTAAAAGAAAATGACTTAAAGCCTCCTGTCCTTTTGAGACTGGTTGTCAATGGCATCATTGCAGGTTACCATGGCAATATATGCTGAGATAATAGATTAACAGCCATTGATTGACTAGAAAACGTAGAGCTCTTTTATCGTGGGATATGCCAAATGTATTGACAGAAAACAAAATTCAGAGTAATACCTTCCCTTGGTGTTACACCGTTGCTGTTCTCGGTGCTGCATGGGCCCAGTTTTACCTGATCTGGCTTAAGAACCAAAACATTTTGAAACAGCCGATGCTTTATCAGGTTTTTTAATAAGCCAGGACACTGCCTGTCCCTGTGTCCAGCCAGCTGGAAGGAGCAAGCCCTGGGTATCTGGTTGCTCCGTGCCTGGGCATACACTGGCTATGGGGGTCCCCAAAGGTGGGGTGAAGTTTTGGCTTGAGAAAAAGGAGGTTGGTTCTGTTACATGGGGCTCATTTCTGTTATGTGGGGCTCCACCGCATCAAGACTTTAGTGTAAGAAGGGGAGATACAAACAACGAGTCTTTAAACCCTCATGTACGGTTATGTACTTAACCACAGATGTCATCACTAGTTTGATACTTTGCCTAAAAACATATTTAGCCCCTATTATTTAAAGTACAGCAGGAAGGAAATCACCTTGTTTAGGGAATAAGTGCTGGAGCAACACTTGCTAATTGCAGATTTGTTATCGGTTCTGTAGAGAAGCAACTGGGTGGTCTCTCCAGAGTAACATTTTCCAAACTTTCCCAGTTGCCAGCCTTCCTCTGGCTGGATTTTGGAATCTGAAATGCTAGGAAAATAACTATTTCAATTTCTTTCATTTGTGGTCCCGCACGTAACATCTGGGCAGGTGTCTGGGAGAGGGAGAGCTGGGGGGCAGAAGCCCTCTTCCCCTGCCTTACCCTCTCCACCAGCACCTCCCAGAGTGCTCTACACATGCTGCCATCGTGGTCCTTCCCTGAAGGTTGTGCCAGAAATGCAGCCTGGAGTTCGGGGATGGCTGGCTTAGCATCCCCATGGGTGCTGAGCAACGGGAAGGGGCAGGCGTGGGCCGGCGCTGATCCCAGCAGATGCTGGGCTGCAAGGTGAGCGCCCGGCAACCTCTTATTTCCCAGCTCTGCTCAAGCGTGCCGCAGTTTGAGGGAATAGCTCTCGAAAACAAACCCAAACCTCAAACAAAGGGCCCGACTTTCATAATCACACATGCAAGAATGCATCCGCAGTTGCTTAATTGCTACATGCAATTACCCTCCAAATTAGAGGGCAATTACCCGAATTCAGTGTACAATCTCTGTCATTTTATATTATGAAATTACATGTACAAATAGCTATATAGGGACATAACTAAGTGTTTGCAAATAACTTCAGTTGCATACACAGTTTCATGGATAAAGCCCGGTGCTTTTGACAGTTAGGCAAACAGCCTGTCTGGTAAATCACTCCGTGTTTATGCAGACTATTTTGACACATCCCATCTTTTTCTATATACTTTCATTTTAGGTTTTAAAAAGGGGACAGGCGGAGAAAAAGAGCTGAGATTTATAACAGCCTTCAGCCTTGGAGTAGATATTCCCTACGTATCTAATTTTGAGTTAGGAGCCCAGCAACCGCTAGCACCTAGACCCGGGGTCGCTACACTGGATCTTGGCTATAATTTAGCAGCTGTTGGATAACAACACAGCCTCGGTGGTCTGTCGGCAGCTCCGAATTAGGAGAGCAGAGTTTAGCCTCAGATCAGCAGCGAGGTCCCATGCCTCAGCAGGCTGAAGTCCTTCAGTTCAAGAGGACCCTTTTTAATGAGCTCCCTCTGTGCCTTGCAACTCTCAAGCAGGAGAGGTCTCCCCGCGATGCACAGTGTTCCGACTGCTCCTGCCATGGATAGGTGCTGGGGGTCTCGCTTTGCAAAAACCTAGTGATGCTCCATTCGTTTGGAGCGGAAAATTGACCCCAGGGAATTGGCATAATGACAATTTCTCAGGACTGAGGTCAAAAAGTTGATTTCTACCCCAAAAATGGGTGGTGGTGTGGAGCCTCCCTCTGTCTTCATGATGTGTTGGGAGTTATTTGGGCTTGGTGGTATTTTGTGTAAAGGTGTTGGCGTGCAGCTTTTGTTCAAGGAAGGCGTTGGGAGAAGCCACTCTGCATCATCCTCGAAGAGCTGGGTGGATGCAGTGGGATGCCACAAAACCCATCTGCTCCTGCGAAGTCTAATTCTTCCTTAAGACTTTGATTTCAAACAGGACTTCAGACTTTATTCCTTAAATGACTATTTGTGGTATTAAAACATTTGTCGTTTTTGCCCGGCTCCTGACACGAGGCTCTTTTCCATGGAGACACCTGAGGCTGATGGTGGTCTGTGCTGCTGGAGATGGCACACTCCTGCCGACAGCCACCCCGTGCACGCTCCTGGTTTGCTTGCTCAGCGTTTTCCGCAAAATGCTGCCTATGCAGTGAGGCGGTTGTGCCTGCGGTACTTTCAGCAGATGATCACCCAGACATGGTTGGAACATCTCCCCTGCAAAATGCCTACGTGTGGCGGGGGCCAGCAAATCCCACCTGTGCTTGTACCTCTTCCTTGTGCCTAGTGGGGAGTCTGTGCTGGATAGGAAATTGTGGGGTTTTTTTCCAACTTTTGCTTTGTGACTGGCGGAGTAGGGTTAGGGAGGGGGAGAACGGGGACCCGATGAATTAAAGCAAGTTCCGATAGCGATCTTCAAACACTTACTTAGCAAATGTTTTACATCTCCTTTTGCCCAAGTCCTGTTGACTTTCTGCCAGAAGCTAAGCAGCTCCCTGATATGTTTATTTTCCATGCAGCGTAAGCAAGGTGTCCTTACCAGGCAATGCTACCAAATGAAGGGGATCAGGAGCTTTCCTACCATGTACCAATGCTGGTATGAGGGAAATGGGGAGAAGAGGGCAGGACATGGGGAACACAGCCCCTTTAGTCCATCTCAGGCTGTGGTTTGTGACTGCACTCAAAGGCTTTTGTTTCAGGAAAGCCTTTTTGTTGCCAAAATTAATCCTGTCCCTTCCCTCGGCTGCTCAGGTTTGGTTCAACATCTCCCTTGAGGCAGGTCAATGCTGCCGGGCATTGAGGGAAGCCCACTCAAGTCCAGCTCAATTCTTCTTGCACTCATGCATCAGCTGTGTCCAGTGGAAGATGACAAGCGCTTCCTGCTCCAGTTTTGGGGAATACCCTCTGATTTTTCTTGCAACTTGAAATGAGAAACAGGTCATGGTTGGTCTGTGCTTCTCCCAGCTGCGTTGCTCAGCAGAAGTGTCCAAGCCCAGCATTTCTTGCAGACCTTCACTGGCCTTGGGGGAAAGCACTTCCATACCCATTGCCCAGGGAGGGAAGAGGAGGTAGGAAAAACTACAGGGCTTCCTAGAGATGCAGGAGCAGAGCTCAGATTTCCTCCCCTTATTCACTACCACCCCACTTTTCTCCCTCAAAGGAGCAAACCCCTGTTTGAGTTCCCATTCAGTTGAGGGTTTGAACACAGCAAGTGCTGATAAGGCAATCAGCTACAAACTTTGGTCCCTGCATGATCCATTACAGAGCAAGGTGTGAGTGTTTCTTGATGAGCCAAAGCAGCAGGTAAATTAACACCCAGGCCTGGAGCCGTGCCCCTTCCTGCGGAGACCCTCTTGGGCACAACCAAAAGGGTTTCCTGCAGTCCTGAGCACCCAGTGGGATGAGGATCCTTCCCAAATGGCTTTTGAAAAAGATCTGAGAGCAGGTAGCAAACACACAGGTTAACACAAGCATCCTTAGGAGCTGTTTTAAGGAAAACATACATATACTTAGTCATCTGAAACTTTATACATGCTTTTATTCAACTTGTGTAAACTTTGACAGTGGAAAAAAACTGCAAAAGGCCTTTTTCCTGGCTCAGTTGCTGTTTGCAGAGTTGGGTTTGCGTGTTTGCAAGCAGATCTTAGTCTTCAGCTGAAACTTGTTCCAGAAAAGACAACTGTCTTGGGGGAGGGGAGCCTGGGCTCAGCACAGGATTTAACAGCCTCGGTTTGCTGGTCCCAGAGCCGCTACAGATCCTGCTTCACATCTTTTTAACATTCTCTTTTCAAAGCACAGTAGAAACATCAAATCTTGCTGCATCTTTGTGCGTTGTGTTGGCCATCGTTGCAGGTGGAGAAAACAGAGGCTACGCGATATCGCTCGAGGTTATGGACAGAGGTAGCTGAGCTGGGATTAGATTTTGGGGCTGTTTCCCAGGCAAATGGTTCATTAAACCTTCCTGGTTTCTGGCAGATGGGGTTGAGGAGGGAAAGGAAATTTCTGTCTAGAGCGAAAGCAGGATTCGGTTTGGGATGATGGAAATGATATTACAAAATGTATTTCAAGGACAGGACCAGAAGGTGATAGTGAGTATTAGCTATCAGGTATCAGCTGGAAACCATGTGAAGTATTACAATGAAGCTAAGATATTTCCTCCTTCCTTTATAAATACAAAGATATCTCCTTCCTCGCACATGAGACAAGGCTCCTTCGCTTTCCTGCCGATTTAACCGGTATTTAGCAAAAATGCTTAATCTGCCCTAACAAAGCGTGGTGTAAGTATCAAGAGAACAAATATCAAGGCTTTAACAAGGAGTGTCAATATTGACACTGTTCTGTGTTGAGGGATATTGGTAGGTTGTTTTTATTAGAGTAAGCAACTTGTCAGAGGAAAACTCAGATGGAGCTTTGCAAGTGCCGATAAAACCTGCAGGTGCTATTGAAATTGAGCTCTTGTTTGTGTGTGCTTTGAATATAATTTCCAGTTGCAGAAGTCAGCTTTATGACTTTCTCATACCTCTCCTCCCTTGCAGTCTCTCCCACGATGCAGATTAAACATTCTTCCCAAAAAAAGAGTTATTGAAGGATTGAAAACCTTTTCAACTTGCAAAGAGGTCTTCCTGGTCTGATGAATTTGCTCCATATCATGAAAATTACCCATTGTTGAGTATCAAGAGCAGATTGGACACATCACCTCTAGCTTGTGCAGCCTTCTTGCAGTTCCATTTCTGCTCCTTGCCAGGTCATCTACACTCCTTACTTGAGGCCTGTTGGCAGCAGAAGGTTGTTTCCCTGCAGTAGATCAGGCTACGCTGAATAGCTTGGATGCAATCTCTAGCTCACACACTAGCTCTAAAGGGCTCTCCATGCACTGCAAAACTGGAGGTGAATCCTGCCACCAGGTAACAGCTTGGAGACTTGGCAACTTGAGGAGTTGCAGGCTGTGGAAAGGCAGGTCAGGTTCCCCTTGACATCCTAATTACTTGGGATGAGTCGTTTAATCTTGGCATGTTGGATCTTCAGTTGGGAGTAATACTCACTTCTCTGGCTGGATGTTGTGAGAGTACTTACATCAGTAGTGGCCAGGTGTCAGATATGGAAACAGTGAAGCTACAGAAGGTATCGGGGGCCTGGAGATGATGCCTGTGCCCAGGCTGAGTGTTTTCTCTCCTGGCTGTAAGCCACTTGCTGCTCAGTGTCTTACGAAGACTGAGTTGCATCACCTTGTAGAAACCTTTCAGAAGTGGCTGGTTTGCCATGTCGAGTGGGAATCACGGGCTGGGTTGCATTTAGGTCATCCAGACATGACCCTGACTGCCTTGATCTCAACGTTAAAGGTTGCACAGCCTTTGGAGAAGATAGAGTCAGGAAAGCACTGCAAAATTTTCCAGCCAGAAACTTAGTTCTGCGCTTTGCAAAGATTGGGCTCTTCTGGGAGTGCAGCCCTTTCATTTCACCATCCTGTGGGACCCATTTGTGTTTTCTACCCAGTTGTCAACACATTTTATTGGGATACCTACATTTTCCATGATTGCAATCCATCAAAATAATGGCTAGGTCTGACCTTGCTTTAGGTTAGGTAATCCCAAAGAGAGATGGCTTCAGGGCATCTCAGAATTTATGAAATCATGAGCTTCATGATACCCTTTCTGGTTGTCTGCTTAAGTGTCGTGTGTTTGTTTCATTCTTCTTCTCATTTTAAACTAATCCTCAAAATACTGCAAAGCAGAATGTTTCAAAGTGGAGAGGGCATTTCTGAGGCTTAGGGCAAAACAGATCACCTGTAGATATCTGTACTTCCTTACTTGAGTCTGGTTTTAATGAATATGTCTATAATTGTGTTTCAGTTCTGTGCCATGGTGGCTATGGGGGAATTGTTTCACTTGAGACAGTAGAAATTCCTTGGTCCTTTGGTACAAGGCTCTAACGGGGGAAGGATGCACAGGCTGTGGAGACTCCTTTGGTTGAGCGGCCAAAGGTCCGTTTAGGGTGGACAGAGTTGTTTGGGGAAGAGAGGTTTTTTTTGCTGTAGATCTTTCTTGGGTGGAGAGACAGTGTGAGCTGTGTCAACCACAGCTAAAAGTGTGGCATTTATTGCATGGAGACTTATCTAAGGGAACTTAGATAAGAACTAAGGGAAGAACAGGCACTGGTCTGGCCCTCCTCTGCAGGATAAGTATTATCTATTCTCAGTTACATCCTACCGATGTAAGAAACCATTTATTTTTAGGTAGTGTTTCCTGAAATAGTGGTGAGGAGGGAGGGAACCTCTGTTGTGTGACATGCCAGTAAGCGACAAGTAGTCCCCTGGGAGGTTGTCTTTCCTAAGCAGAGTTTCTGTGGTTAGAAAATACTGGATATGGGTTGCCTTAGAAATCGCCCTGTTTGGGTCCTGTGGTTGAAGCACTGGCCAGAGGAGACCTCAGGAAGGGGTCTCAGCTGGGCTCTTGACTTCATCATGAGCTCCTATTGCGAGCCTAGGCAAACATGACCTCTCCATTCCTCACCTCACACCGGCAAAGGAGAATAACCCTCCACACCGTGCCAAAGCTCACATCTATGAGCTGCTTAGCTCCCAGGGAGGCAAATGTACGCATCATCTAAAGCGTAGCCACATGGAGATGTTTCTCTTGGGATTTCTTTCTGATTTTGCTTGAATGTACTTGGGTTTTGAATTTTGCTTCAGGACCAGGCCATGGGGAGGCTGAGACAAGGGAATGCATTTACTACAACGCCAACTGGGAGTTGGAGAAGACCAACCAGAGCGGCGTGGAACGCTGCGAGGGAGAGAAGGACAAGCGGCTCCACTGCTACGCCTCCTGGAGAAACAACTCGGGCTCCATCGAGCTGGTGAAGAAAGGCTGCTGGTTAGACGACTTCAACTGTTACGACAGGTAATAGCCTAACTGTTTTTTTCTGAATATAGGTTTAATTGTTGCTCTAAGTGCAAAAGATTGTGATTTTTTGCATGAAGGAAAAAAAAGTCAAGTCCAAGTCTATTGGCCCATTCATCCCCTGTAATTACTTCTGTTACTAATGCAGCTCTCCACATTGTCACTTATCTGCCTTGGCTTTCTGAATAGAAGCTGCAAAAGGCACTTTTAGGGTTTTTTTGTTGTGTGGTTGTTTGGGTTTTTTTCCTTTGCAAAGCTTCGATAATTCTGGCATGCGTTGAAAAACGTGTCCTGTACCATCAAATGAAGAGCAATATGTTCTTCCAAGAGCGTTTGGCGATACAAAGGAAAACTTGGAATCATTTGGAGCTCTCTAGAAAAGCACAGATATCTGGGGGTGGTTAGAGGTTGAGATACGCTAGCGCTTGTGATGTTGCAAAAAGTTTCACTGTTCTTTGGTTGAGTTAAGAGATGGACTGGGAGAAAGAGTGGGGCAGTGAAAGCAATACGCGTGTTCGTGTGTCGCTGCCTGCAGCGAGCTGAAAAGGAGCGAGATTTTTTAGTACGAAGGCTCCAGCCTCATTAAATAGCTGGGAAAATAAACTGGTCTTTTCTTATTTCCCTTGATGCAATTCTACAGAGAGGGAGAGGATTACAGCTGAAGAAAATAGCCCTGTGAAGTGTCACAGCTTAAAAGGACAGTAGCTCAGTAGCTCCGGACTCATTCAGTGTTTCTGTTTAAAAAACCCCAATGACCAACCAACCAACCCAAACCCATCTCTTTCGATAAGGATTAACAGCATGTAAAATTCAAGGATTTCCCTTGACAGAACACCAGCGGAGCTTGATCTCACCTTTATGCAATTCCCAGCTGTGCGTCTTCGTAGCTTCTTATTCCAAAGGTTTTAGGACATCAAGTCCTAAGATGTGGGGCTTAAGCTGGGACTAGATTTGTCCCGTGGCTGGAGAGCTTTCTCCCTTCGGTCCTGCACACTATCCCTGCTTTTGTGCCCGCTGTCTTAGCTTATCCCAACTACGAGTCATTCCTCATCTTCCTTCTATTTTTAGCACCGGGGTTACTTTCCCACCACACCTATTCCCTTGCCAGTTGCGTAGCCAAGCTCTATATATAGTTAAATTTTTATTCTTTCCCGATAAATCAATCCTCCTTGGCCCATTAGTCATCTTAACACCAATCCTTTTGAGAACAGAAGGTCACTCTGGTTTCCTACTTCTGAGCAGAAGTGTTTACTGTAAACAGATTTCTCCTTTCAGTGCCTGCTCTCGTATATGGTGACACTTGTATTGTCACTGAGTGTCTCTGTGCAGGGATGTAGTGGTTCTTAAACTTTGTCATAATGTGTTGCTCTGTTACAACAGTAAAAAGTTTCCAGGGCTCCTCAAAAGCCTTTTTGCTGCCCCGGGGTTGAGCATCCATTATCTTGCAGCCTGATTCTTCAAAGCCACGGTTCCAGGGCAAAGCTAAAAGATCTTCTGAGAATTAACAAACAGTACAAGTGTTGGAAGCAACATTTGAAATAAAGGTTAGCTTTAATTAAGTAAAGGCTGTTTAAATGGAGTCTTTTGGAGTTTTTTTCTTCCTTTGAGTGTCCTCATCAGTCTTTCTTCCAGGTAGCATTGCATCCCAAGATGACAGAAATGGCTAAAAAGATGATTTTTCCGTTGGCATGCTGATGTCCTTTCTGTCTCTATCTTCAGCACCTTTGGGTGCCAAGTGCCCAAGTTCAGCTTTGGGAGATGCACCTGTACTTGTATCTCCAAAAGTGTCCCCTGGATGCAGGGCATGGTCCTGTTCTGCCGGGCTGCAGCTCCTCTCGGAGCACAGGCAGCACGTGATGGTTCATGCCTCCTTGTCGCTGGACGGTGAAAAATTCCCGAGTGCAAGGGTTTGAGATGTTGAGGGGGATGGCTCCTTACTCTGTTCTTTATCTTAAGGAAACGAGAACGTGGCATATGGACATTTAAAGTTATAGGAAAAAGGTGGTGTTTAAAGATCGACTTGTGCACTCTTCGTTTATTTACACAGCCCCACCGGAGAGGTCGCGTTCACGTTCCCTTGGAGAGCACGTGAACCGCTGCGCAACGTGCCCTCAGTGCCACAGAAAAATGTGTCATTCTCTCCCACTGTCTCATTTGTAATATATGCTAAGTATAACATGTCATACGTACCTGGATGGCTGCCCTGAGCGCGCACCAACTCAAAGACAGGGATAATGAATTGCAGATGTGGAGCAGGCTGTTTTCACTCATTAGCTTGATTTCTTAACCAACAGATTTAGCAAAGGATGTGTTTTCTATTGAAAATTCCAATACTGATGCTGTTAAATCCAAACGGCTTGTTATCTGATTTCACGAAAAAGCATCTGGAAACGTTGCTTAACTTGTTGAAACATCTTTGTTCATTTGAATAAGTCAAATAGCTGCTTTTTTTCCTTTGAAGTTTAAAAAAAATTAAAACCTGAAAGAAAACTCAAGCGCTTCCCAGCTGAGACCTTGCAGGAGACGTTTCAGCTATAGCTGCTTTTTATTCCCCAAAAGGAATAAAGCACCAAGAACTACCCTGTGTTATGATTGAGGAGAGCCCGTTCCATTCTTCTCGTGGCACTATATCAGTGACACCACAGAACGGGAGGCTTGGCATGGGTTCATAAACAAGTAATAGTGTCAAACACATACGATTGTTTTGCTACTTCCTCCGAGTGGTTGAAGGAAGGAAGTTATGCATATAATTTAGCTGGGCTTCAGGAAATAGTTTGATACAGTTCTCCACGGTGAGCGGCTCTGCACCCTAATAGCTAAAAGCAGAGGGTAACGCAGCAAAAGGTGGCAGAGAAGGGAAGCAGGCGTTTGAGAAAGAGAAAGAAACGACTGCTGGAGCACTGCGAAAAATCACTGCATGGCTCTTTTGGCATTGATCTGTGGGAGAGGGATGATGTGTGGAAGTGGAGTCGGTCTGATCCATGGAAGTCCCCTAACGTCTTGCGCAGCGTAGAAGGAAACCTCAGTGCTGAAGAAGGCTGTAGCGCTACCTGGAAAGAGGCAAATATGAAAAATGAGAGCTGCGACCTGATTTTCTTAAAGGCTTTTGTGCAGGAGTAATTTTTATTAAAGGAGGAGATGGCACTTGAAAATTAAACTTAAAAAAAAAAAAACAACAAAACAAAAAACTGCAGCAGGACTGCTGTTGGTGCTGGTGTCTGGTGCCCTTCTAGTGCATACAGTGATGCTTGGGGCTGTGAGAGCAGTCTTAGCTCAGCCCCCATCATACATGCTTTATGCCACAATCCTTAATTGCATGATCAAATACTCCTCTCCCCTGACAGCATACGTACGGGCTGCAGGAAAGACCCTGTTCAGGGAATGAGGCATCTCTCCATCGTTTTTCTGTTTCTCATTCAGTTAGCGGCGGCGGCTGTTATTTATTACTCACCATCTAATGCCTTCGGTACATATGGAAGCATTTGTTCCCTTTACGGTCTTTTCAAGGATCTTTGCTATCCACTGGGGTATTCGAGTGCCAAGTCATTTTCTGTAAGCGGAAGCTGCCGATCCGTGCAGCGCAAGAGCAGGAGAAGGCACGTGGAGAAGACGATTTGGGGCAGGTCGGCTCCCAAAGACAAGAGGCAGGAGTTGGCTGCTGTTTTTTCTCTTCCCTTCATTGCCTTGTCTGTCCCTCCCCGATGCAGGCAGGGGGGTGTAGCCACAGAAGAAAACCCTCAAGTGTTTTTCTGCTGCTGCGAGGGCAACTATTGCAATGAGAAATTTACCCATTTGCCTGAAGTCACCGGCCCAGAAGGTGAGTGAGCGGTGTGGATGGGGAGGGAGAGTCTCTTCTTTTGGACCTGGTGTTTGTGATGACTTTGGATTGCTGTATGTGGAGCAAAAAAATACATCTGACAGGACAGAAAGTACCGTTTCGGTTACAAAGTCCAGAAATCCTTCTGCTGGGATTTTTTAAGAATAGTTTTTTAAGGTTGTTTCATGCTGTGGGTAAAGCATGTTGTACCAGCTCCTTGGGTACCACCAGTTAGGATTAAGTTTTCCTTATGCTGGACGTTCACGGTGCAGGGATTTTTGCAAAATCCCTCACAAGGGGAAGCAGGCAGAGTGATTTATACAGCATAGATGAAGACTCCAACTCTTAAAAGGTATTTGACACCTTCTTCATTAAATTTCATACGTCACAGGTCTCCAAATACCTTGAGCACCCAGGATTTTTGCATTTGATTGGTGTTTCATTGGTCTGGGGATTGAGAGGGAATGGGTGTGCGTGTCAGCTTTCAGAGTTTGTGGATATTCTTCAAGAAAGAAAAGTAATAGCAGGTCCTTCTTCAGAGGCTAATAGAAAAATGATGATTCTTTTAGCTGTAGGCTTTCTAAAGTATCATTCAATAAAAATTATTAAAGCGGGTGGCTCTTTGCCTTAGGATGGTTTCTTTTGCTATCAACAACCTGCATTTACTGAGATGTTCCAGTAGACCATTATCAGATTTTCCTGGGCTTTCCTGTTAGGTTTTTAATTGTTTACATGGGTTTTATTATCTCCTGTTATTAATGTACCCGTAGCAACCTAGTGGCAAATATTCTTTCTCTCACAGCTTTTTTTTGTTTAATTTGGCAAGTCTTGCTATTTTTTCCTTCCCTGTCTCCAACATAGCAACATGGCTCCGTTTAGTATTCCCATTGTTTGTGTCTCAACTGCACTGATGTAATTTGGAACAAGAACTACTGTGGGAATAGTGCATTCGATTGTGGCTCCGGCAGCGTTTCACTAAAAACTGACATCTTGTCAATCACGGTGCAAGGCAAAGCAGAGCTGCGAGGGATTTTATGCTCGCTTAATACATTCGGAAGGGTTAAGAGGAGGAAATTTTCTGCTTTTACATATCCCAGCAAGAAAAGCTCATCTTCAATAAAGCTCAGATGGAGGCTCAGCTTGGAAACTGTGGTTTGGACCATTGTAACTCCGTTAGTAACGGCCATATGGAAAAGAGTAAACCGCGGAGCCTTATGAATGCTGTTGGATGTGATGGGACATGCCGCTAAGCATTGTCAACTTTGGAGTAGAAGGAAGGGCAGGGTTTGGTTGCGTCTGGAGGTGTAGCTGACAGTGCTGTTGCATGCCTGAAGGGTCCTTTCCTGTGTTTACTCTGCTCTTTTCTCGCAGTCGTATATGAGCCGCCGCCACCAACGCCCTCCCTGCTCAACATCCTGGTGTACTCGCTGCTCCCCATCGCTGTCCTCTCCATGGCCATCCTCCTGGCCTTCTGGATGTACCGTCACCGCAAGCCTCCCTACGGGCACGTCGACATTAATGAGGTGAGGGTGTCGCTCCCCTTTATTTGGACCTTACAAAAGGTATGGAGGCTGCTCAGTATATGTTCACCTCCACTTTTGTTTCGCTCTTTTCAGGTGGCCTATCTTTTCTTCTCTGTCTTTTTTTGAAGCTGGTGGTACAGTTGACCTCCGTGGTGGTATTAGCATCCCCTGTGAGGCTGATGGGTTTAGATGGGGTTATCACCATGCCCGAGATTCCTGAGGGATGGAGTCACACAGCCCTGCTTGGTGGCTACCCTTCCCCCCCGAGCTCTCAAACCCATTGCCTGATTTCAGCCAACTTTGCAGAGGCGCAGAAATCAGAGAGGTGATAAAAGTTCCTACCAGCTTTATGGGGCGAGAGGAGATGCTTTCCCTGGTGAAGCTCAGTTTTTACGAGCCATCAGAGAATGCATGCAGGAGGAGGTCACCCTCGTGGCTCAAAACCATCAGGAACTGGTCCTTAGTGGCTCTGCTGTGCCCTGAGCCTTCTGGTTTCTTCTGAAGGACTGAGCAGTCACCTCTCCCCTCCTCCTCTGCCCATTACAGCCCATGCCGTGAACCTTTCCCATCTGAAAGCAAATAGGACAGAACTCCAACCCCACGCGTCCTGTGGGATTGCGTTGTTCTCATAGACAAACGCAGAGTTTAAACGGATATGATCTTTATGGTGCTGACAGACCTGTTTACTGCCCATTGCCAGGGTTATGTGAAACGCTCCTACTGAAGTGCAAAGCAGTGGGAGGTTTTAGGTGCAGTTGGCTGTTGGGTCACAAAGATCAAAAAGTTCCTACTTTTGGCAGGAGGTAGCCTTGAGGTCATCGATGTTTTACAGCCCAAGATAGCTCTTGCTTTGAAAATACAGAAGAATTCTGGGTTTGCCAGAGGATGGCAGGCAGTTCGACACACAAAATGACACTTGGAGGCATAGATTGTTGTATACGTTCTATATAAATACTCCGCAAAGCAAGATAGGGGATTTTGCACTGCTCTTGCTGCAAACGGTACATCTAAATAATCTGTATTAAATAAAATCTCACTTAATTACACCTCTTTCCCCATATGCAATCTCTCCATTCCTCCCTTCCCTTTATTTTACAGTCCAGCTTCAGCTGGTGACGATGTTTTTCTCTTGTGCAGGACCCCGGCCCACCACCCCCTTCTCCCCTAGTTGGCCTAAAGCCTCTGCAGCTCTTGGAGATCAAGGCGAGGGGACGCTTTGGGTGCGTGTGGAAGGCTCAGCTGATGAATGACTACGTGGCAGTGAAAATCTTCCCTATTCAGGTGAGAAGGGTGTTGCATTAAGTTGTCACTCACTGGGCTTCCTCACCAGTGCTGAGGTGCCCTAAGTGCCTATGAAGGTGTTTTTAAGACCATAACAAAGATACATTTGGACTCCTCTGCTGGGGAGAAATGTTCCAAAGACCCTCCCTTCCTACACTTTTCTCTGTCTTATCTCATTACCAAGTGCTTCCTGCAGTAGTAGTTGTTGCAATAAGGCAAAATCAAGCACGTTTTGACATCTACAGGATATTTGAACTTCACTGCAAACGTCCATGTTGTTGAAGTCCAGCGAGGCAGCGCACAGCTGCGATGCTCGAAGTGCACACAAAGGACTGAAGCCCCGGCTTTGTGTGTCCTGCGTGGGTGGATTATAAATCCGGAGCCGAACCCAGCAAACAGTTTACAGCTTACAAAGGCACGGCCCCGGCGCTGTGAAAGCAAATTGCACTGCAGTGATTCTGTCTGCTCCCATCTTCCACTCTAGGAGACCTCTGAATGCTCCTGACTTGACTCTCTAGGAATTGCAGATGGAA